TAAACAATTTTAGTAGCTTATCGTCTTCTCTTAAAATACAACAAATGATCTCTTCTTCCCATATCTCATCTCTTATCTATAAACAAAGCCTTAAAGCCTCGTCATTCAGTCCTGATCAGCAAAAGTCCATTAAGGGTTACCAGAGAGAATAACGTGTCTATTTTACCCTTGGTCAAATAAATCAATTTTATATTCCTTCCTTTTACTTTTAACAATAGTGATCTTTAGTCCCTTCAAATAATGCCCTAGAACTTGATTTCTTTTTATTTTTTCTTTGTCCCTTCTGACAAAATTTTTCAAAGCTTTAACAAGTCTCTTTTGTAAATCCAATATAAGAAAAGTTATCCAGGTCACTTTTTTGGTTTGTTATTTGTATATCCCTTTTAATTATTAAGACTTCAGCTGGTTTCATTTGTATATCTACTGTAGCTTCTTTTCCTGTATCATTCTTGTAGTCTGTCAGTTTTAAATCCACTTTTAGATCAGTCTCAGTCTTGTATGGTAAAACATATTCCTCTTCCATAACATCTTTTAAACACAGTCTTTCTATAGAGGTAGACACTCTTAAAGTTAACTTCTGGGTCCATTGTTCAAAAATATCCTTCAATATGTCCAATATTAAAATATTTTGCTCCATTCTGTCTTAATAAATCAAATTTAAGTGACCTTCTCCTTTAATTGTAATCTTTAGTTCCTTCTGGTTCCCTCTAGTGTCCAAGTTTCAAAGTCTCATCCTATCATGTTTTTTTTTAAAGAGTTTTCAAAACAAAAGCATTTTCCCACAGGAAGGATTCTTATAATTAAATCCAAAATCTTTTTTCAAATCCATCTGGACCCTTAGTCTGTTTGTAACTTTCCAAAATCAAAGTTCTAATTACCTTTTTGCTGTTTATTCCAAAAGGAAAAAAAAATTAAGTCCTTAAAATTGTATTTAAAACTTTTTTCACTAAGGATTGAAGGAAACTCAACCAGTGCTGTAAAACTTGCTGGTCCCAAATAGCTGAAAAGCAATTAACAAGCAATTTCCAAAAGTGATCAGAAAAGAAAGTATGTGAACCCAGTGTCTTTTGAAGGTGCCGACCATGGTTTGAACAAAAAGATGGCTATTCCCTCATCTCCCAAAACTCTAAACCCTCCAGAAACCGCTGTCTTGTGGTCTCCTTGCAAGGAGCAACAGTATGGAGCACTTGCGGGTGATCTCAAGTCCTCGCCTTGTCCAGAGAGGAATTACAAAGAGCCAGTTTACTCACCAGCTCTTCATTCCGCTGCGGTCATCAGCTCCATCTTCAGTTCACCATTTCTTCCCCAGAAGTCAGTTCTTGGACTTTCATTAAATGATTCTTCTTTGCCTGTGTTTCTAATTTCATTTCCTTAATCCTTTCCCATCCTCGTCCTTGAACAAAGTAGATTCTTGCCAAAATATGCTGTATATTTTCAGTACCATCTGATCCAAGATAAACCCTGAAAGGCCTACCCACTGAAAATGAATAGGGAGAAACAATATTCTGCAGAACTGCTCTGTGAAGAAAAGTAGGGCTAGATATGCAAAACCACACCTGGCTTTACCATTCAAGCAGACTGGGAGCAGCATAATCCAAGGAATTCATCCCATGCCAAAATAAACACTTGCATTTGGGTTGTATCAGGAATACAGGTACTGTAGATGCCATAATGCGGTAACATAAAAAGGTTTGGAACACAGCGTTGGGTCTTGAGGAATGTGTCTTTGCTCCATTCAGACCAGTCTTTTCTGTGCGATCCCCAGAATGTCCAGTCTTGGAGGATTTCTAGAAGTTGTAGTCACAGTAAATCTTGAGGTCACCAGGCTTGGAAAGGCTGGCATAAATTTTTTAAAAAATGCTGGAAATGATATGCAATAGATGCAGTAGAGTATCTATTAAGAATCCCATGTGATTTGGCCAGAAAGGGCTTTCCTGGTAATTGTGTGAGAACTTTTAAAAAGGTAGATATTTCAGTACTTCAATTTTCAGCTATTAAGAACTCATCTATTTTGGGGTAGTGTAATAATTGGATGGTGGAACTGCCAATCAGAGCAGAGGATTACACGATCCCTCTTCCTACTTTATATTCTGAGGAGAGGAGGGAAATTAGGAGAAAGGGATGTGGGAGGTATGGGTTGAAGGAGTGGAGGTTCGGAGGTCTAGCCTAGAAAGACTTTAATCTGTTAGGGAGACAGGGTTAGGAACATACAGCTAGCACGGGGAGGTATTGACTGGCTATAGATACACTGTAGAGTTAAGTGAACCTGTTCATAAACCATTCAGAGATATTTAATAAAAGTTATTTTTTTAAAAATGTAACCAAGTGACAATATTCAATATATCCCCCCTGCATTCTACTTAGTCATGTTTCCTCAGACGTATAAAGAAATACAGTAAAGGAGAAAAAGAGATGAATTTCTAAATCAAAGAAGGAGCGGCTTAGTGGTAGCAGCAAGACAAATAGATTCCGTAGATATCTCCCATAGTTTATGGAATTTCAGTTTATTTTAAAGAACAGAAAAGTAATAAGAAACGGACACCCACAACTAGGAAGGTACATAACAGGGATTAATTGAAATTTTACACCACAGTGAAATAAGATTTTCTTTCTCTTTTTCTTTTGGATCTTTACAGACAATACCATCATATTGTATTATGTTTCTACACCTTGAATTAAGGATTTCAAAAAACCTTAAAGAAGCCTCATTCAGTTAGTGTCCTGTTCTAGCACCAACTGCAGAAAGCAGTGGAGCCAGGGAAGCAAAAAACCGAGACTACAAAATAAAATTGTCAAGCAAACTGAAGGATGAATCTTGCTGACAAAGCAGCACGGCATCTACAAAATTATGTCCTATGTTACTTACTTGAAGACTTCTTTTTAGAGGTAAACAAGCATTTAAAAGATGTTTTCCAATAAAATTGTGCATGTGGACTTTTAAAATGGCTGTGACAAAAGACCTGACCTAAGGCTCTTAAAAAAACAGTTTTAAGAGTTGTGGGATAAATGACAACTCCTGTTACAGATGAGTAACTACTTAGAAAAGAGGAAGCAGAAATTAAGAATAAAGAATAAAAGAACAGTTTTTAAAATGGTAGGATGAAAGAAAGGAATCAGCATAGAGAGCAGTATCTTTTAAGAGACAGATAAGCCGTACCTAAAGTGGATAGAGAAAATTCTTTTCTCTCTCTCACAATAGTAGATCTTGCCCGCTGAAACAAAACACAGAGACATTCAAGACCAAGAGGAGGAAATGTGGTTTTTTTCCACATAGTAAATAATAAAACTTTGGAATTTGCTCTAGCATTGTAATGGCAGCCAATATGGATCGTTTTGAAAGAGTCAAAGACAGGTCCATGGAGGAATAGGCTATTAGTGGTTGCTAATATTGATGGCTGTCTCATCCAGAATCCTAGGCAGCCCACCTTAAAGACTGTTTGCTGAAAAATGACAGTAGAAGAGGGGCTCTCGTCAAGGCATTGATTACTAGGAAAGTTTTAACATGGCATGTTTTCATATAAATATTAATTTGTAAAAGAGGCCAGTATTTCTAATCATCATTTAATTCATAATTCAGGAAAGGACAGGGCAACCTCAAGTCCTGCAACCATATGTGGCCCTGGATTCCTCTCTTACTATAATAGCCAAACATTCACAGCAAGATTGCCCACTATTTCTAGTTGAGAACTGAACAAAAACAGTGTAACAGAGGTAACATAGAAAAACAAAAAACACAACCCTAAGTCCCTAAACCATGGAAAATAGAGAATCTTGGCCTTGATACATCCCTGCTCTTTTCCCATTGATGCTTGTCTGACTACTGCCCTTGCCTACTGAAAATTAGGCACATCCCCAGCTACCTATTATTTAGACACTGCAGGAAATAAGGATTTTTCCATAACTTAAACCTTAGAATGTGCCTCACAGCTATGTCTAGGCTAATACAGTCAGTTTCCGATGACATTCAGGTCCCAGTGCTGGAATCATGTTTGTGAGGAGTGTGGTAGTTTATATTTACAGATAGAAACCAATGCCTCACACTTGCTCTGAACTTTTTGTTATTTGCTAAGTAAGGAAGAAAGGAATACCAGAGTGTTAATCAAGATACTGTACTTTAATGTACTAGATTTCTTTTCTGGATTTTTTTTTTCTGTCTTATACATGCATGCAAAAATATGCATATCTAAGCCCTTTCCCTTCAATAGCAGGAGTTTCTATATGCGAACTGGGTGAAATTTATATAGCATTCCCCAGCTTTCCATTACTCATAATTTCTATAGCGCTTCCAAGTACCATTGCTTCATTGCCAGCGTTTTTTCTAAATTCAAGATTTTGATGACTCATTTTCCTCTCAGCATCCCAAAGTTTAGACACAAAAGAGGAACGTGTGCATTAATTAAAATCCCTCTGTAGCAATCTACTTATAAACACATTTCTACAATTCTTAGAGAGGCAGTATAAGAACCTCTTATTTCCTTTTGATGAATGTATTGTGAAATGTGCAAGATCAACCACCCTAGAAAATGCCCTTTTGACATAGCTGTGGTACAGCCCTGTTGAAATCTCACCATGCTGCTCTTCTGGAAGACAGGAGATAGATGCTCCTAGTGGTCCCTTGGTCTCCTATCAGGTGGCACAGGCCACCGAGTGCCTCCCTTCAGCAACTGGTAGAAGCTCAGTACTCTTTCTAGCAGGGAATGGGGAAACAAGCATCTGCAGCAGTTCAATCATCATCTGCACCCAGACTAATCTTTTTAATGTCATGTTGGTCTTCCTGAGAGGCAGGGGACCTTAGTCTTCTATGAAACCCAAAGCTGCCCTCCTTCAGCTCTGCTGTCTTATATCAAGTTTATCACCAAAACCATCATGTCAAAACTGAGCAGAACAATTATACCAACGTGGGAGAAAACAGTGGAAGCTGGAGGACCCATCTTATCCAAAGCCCTTCTGGATGCATATCAGCAGGGTAAAAATGGGGAAGCAACTTACTAGCTTCAAAGCATGATGGTTCTTTCACCCATTTTAGGTCCATGTTTGAACGCAAGTGTCCTTTGAATCTTGAACAGCCCCTCAGTCTCTCAGACTACCTTTTTGTCTTTTCCAGCTTCAGAGTAGGAGGATTACAAACACAGGCCACCTGTTTTCTTCTCCACTCTTAGAAAGGGAGACCTGACAGATAGTGTGGCCCAAGAGATACATGGCAATGTTTAATCCTTTCTTCTCAGTTAAATTGGAGGATCTCCACTATAACAAAGAAAACAATTTACTGGTGGTATCTGAGAAAGTCATCTTTACTCTGATCAGATTGCCCATATCATTTCAGAATATTCCACATAGGAATGTTAATTTAGTTTCACCACATTCTTTCCTTTCTCTGATTTATAAACCATTCTAATCTAGACATAAATCGATCTTAAGCTTGACTCAGCTGACCAGGAGCTGAAAATCACACGTGGAAAGTTCAGTAATAAAACTACCTCTACTCAAAAGTATCCATAGATGTTCAATTAGCTCTGGGGATTTCCAAAGAGCATAGTTTCCTTTCCTCAAAATCAGACATTTGGTTTCTTAGCCAGATGAAGGTATAGATTTAAAGCCTTTCCTCACTGCCAGTCCTTAAAAGTACATGTATCTTTCTATGATTAGAACTGCTGGTATGATGTGCATTGTCCTGACTCTTTTCACTCTCCTCTTTGTTTTGTGGTGGATATTTTGCAGTCGTATATAGACCATGGTAGGATATGACTTTAAATCACAGCTCAGGGACAAGACAAGGCCAGCATCATAGGACCAGGTGATAAAAATTCAGGTTGCCAAGCTATTCAGGTGGTGCTGTAAATGATTAGTGCTCTGAATTTACACCAGATCTTCATGTTGCAACACCATTAGAGGGAAGTAGGATGGTAGTTCACTGGTACTTCAGCATCTCTTTAGGGTTTAATTTTACTAAGCTTATCTTTGAACCAGACTTTTATTTTCACTTCTGCTTGCTTTTGGACTTTGTGGCACCTTTTTTTAAGGATTCCGTACTGTAATTAAAATATGTGGAGATTTCTAGGCTAAAAAAAAACACACATAGAAGAGGAAGGAGGGAAAGGGGGCAATGGCTTGATCTTTATTCTGCGATAAACAGAGCAGTGATTCATCCAAATCTTCTCTTGTGGGAATCTCCGCATTTGAGGGCTTTTCATTTGAGTACTCCCTCATCTTCCTTTCACCATCACCCTGGGCTGAAAAGTAATTTCCCGTTCAGAACAAAAGAGAAAAAGTGATTTTTCAGAGAGGAAAAGCAGCTCCATGTTATGACTTATAAAATGAAATTTCTAAAAAGTAGCCAATTTACCAGTGGGCCCTCTATATGCATTGCTAGAAAAGTTTGTAGAAGTTATAGAGCTGTCTTCAGTAATATGTAGACTTGGATGACCTGAGTAAAGTGGTTTACACAGACAGCATTTATTTGATTACTATCCTATTCAGGCATAACATTTTTGTTCAAGAGACTGAGTGCTAATAAGAATAGGCAGAGACTTAAAAAAAGTAAAGGAACATATTACTGTAGTCTTCTGAATTGGATCCAGAGAAGTCTGCACATAGCTAGTGCAAGAGATTTTGTTACCTGAGGGGAACAAGAAGTTGATGTCTCATTTTACTTTCCATGAACAAGGGGTTGATGGAACTTGGAGTTGAATCTACCATCAACACTACTGGTAGGAAGATATCCTTCCCAATACTTCAGTGTGGCAGGGAATTTTGGACAATTTGGTCTAGGCGTGTGACACACGCAGCTTTGTCTTCCAACATTTTGCTTTGGTTTCCTCCCTACCAGCATCTGCTCTTTGAAGCAGTTACATCATTCTAATTAATTGTAGGGCTAGTTCTGATATAAAAAAGCAAAACAAAATCAGCATCCTCTTGGTCCAGCAAATGCACTAATATTAAGCTGTATGCCTATTTAGAATCTTTATTAAATTCTATGTGTAGGGATGATAGAGCTTCAGTATTGCCAAGAATATTATTTGTTGGTTTTAACAGAGCATTTGTTTAATTCTTCAGGTAAAAATAGCAAAATGGCTGTGTTCTATAGTCATATCTAAAATCATTTGAAAATAAGCATAGTGAAACCTCTTTTTAATGGATTTACTACAGGAAGGGAAGAATACATCATGGCAATTTTACATCATTTGAATGAATTATGTAAATGACATAAATCACCATGGAATTTGGTCTCTTGAATGCAAATTATTTTGTATCTATGTCTGGTAAATTAAGGTTCCACTCTATAATTGTTAGAGTAGTGAAAGGAAAAAGATACACTAGGATATTTTTAGACATGTCCTATTGTAATTTTGTATTGAGAAGCAGAACAAATGTTTAGAGAGTTTGTTGCACAAAACAAGGATTAGTTTTAGGGTTAATCATACTGTAATAATATCACCTACAGTTTACATCTATATTTTTGGGGAATGAGACTTATTATGATTATGCTGCTTGTTGGACCTGCTTGGAAAGCAAAAGTGTAACACCTTTGAAATCTTGGCATGTAGACTAAATCTGGATCATTGTTTCATGCTTCAAAACTGCCAAGCAATTTAGTGATTAATAGGTAAGCAATTAAGTTTTGATCTCAGATCCCATGAGAATCTAATGTGATGGATAACCCAAACTTGAAAATTGTGGGGAAGATATTCTGTTGGAATGCTTGGGCTAAACAAACAAGGGATTAATACTTTAAATCAGTTTCTAACACTTCTAATTTAAAGCTTTTGAGAGATTGCATTCTGAGTTTGACTTAGCTCCAATACAGGTAGTCCTTGTTTAGCACCTCCCTCATTTAGCGACTGTTCACAGCTGCAACAGTGATGAAAAAATAACTTTATGACCAATCCTCTAATTTATGACCTTCGCAGGTCTGTAAAGCAAAGGAAAGCTGAAGTAAAATCATAAGCACAGTTGCTGTTTCACTTAGCAACTGCTTCACTTAACAACCAAGTTGCTGACCCCAATGGTGGTTGCTAAATGAGGACTACCTGTAGTCAGTTTAAAATATGTACAATTGAGACATGAATTTACTAAATAGTATGGCCTGGATGCTTTGGCACCCTCTGTGATAGCTGCAATCTTAGCTTCTTTAAGAGAGGTATTAAAATGTGAAATGAAGGTCAGTATTAGTTATATATTTGAACCATGAAATGATAAATTGGAATATCGAGTTTTGGAGCAACAGTGGCTCGACGTGTTTAAAAATTTTAAATATACTTCTTAGGATTTAAAAATGGAATTAATTCATCAGAAAATATTTTGTGTTTATTGGACCCCCAAAGAATGTTTAAAAAGAGATGGACATTAGGATATTTTTATGTAATTGGAAAGAAAGTTATTCTTTTGATTTTAAGGAATGGATCCGGAATATGAGTGTATTATCTATTTTTGAAAAGTATGTGTGTTCTAGACTTGAGAGATGGCATGTTGTTAAGTGGTCTAGAGTTAATTATCACCTTAATGATTGAATTAACTCCATGTAGTTATTTATAGTTATTATATGGGTCTTTTTCCTGTTAATTTGGGATTTTTTGTTATGTTTTGTCTATGTTGTTCACTATAAGTTAATTTAATTATATTTCTTCATAGTATACTCACTGTCCTTTTCTGTTACTGTTGATGGCAATATAGGGTGGGTTGTTGTTTTTTTTTTGTATTTCATTATTTTAAAATAAGTAATAGTTTTAAAAAATGAAAAATAGTCTTAAAAAACCTACGTGCTGTACAGGATAGATCATCATTACAAATACAAAATGCTCCTGGATCTTTAGTTCCAGCTAGTAATTGATCAGTTAAATGGTTAGTTAATTTCCTATTAGCAGATGACTCATAAGTTTAGCTCCCCCAAATCATTAAACAAAACTTCAGATTGTTCTGCATATCTTTTTGCTGGCACCATATTATTTGGTTAAATATTAGAATTAGATTCCCAAATAATTGTATTGATTTGTGATATCATTCACAGATTCAGTTTTACAAAGATTCCCGTGAAAGGGATCTGAGTTATCACTTCCAGCAGCAACAACAGTATCAAATCAGAAACAGGATGTTTCCTACGATATAATTTATAGTCTTGAGCATGTAATACACTGTCAGTGTGTATGTCTGTGTGGTTTCTGTGTATATGTGATTTATTTTGCAAACTATGGAATGGTTGTGCTTGTTGAACTTACTACTATGCATGTGTTTTAGACCTTAATAATAATAATTATTTGGTATTAATTAATTGTTTTTAGCCTTGCTTTATGCCGCCCAGAGTCACTGCTTGTGAGATGGGCAGCTATATAAATTTGACAAATAAAGAAACATGTCATATTCTGTGAACAAGTAATTACATACATTAACTTGATTTTGAGACAGGTTTTAATAATTTCAGATGTCTATACCTATATCAAACTGATGGCTGAAAAATGTAAATAGATTCAGTTTCTGCACCATTCTTGTTGCTAAGATATTGTTCTTAAGTATTGGAAAGATAGATAAATTTACGATCCCAATTACTCAGTTGACTAAAGACCTGATGTTACTTGCTACTTATAAATAAGTAGACTATGAATGGCCAATTATAATGAAATATGGCCATCCTTTATTGAAACAGTTGTGTAAAACTCTATAGACAAGCAAGAATGCACATATATATAAAATTTCCGTTTTTCCTTTTTTGTTTGTTCTGTTTAGTTAAATAAACACAATTTTTAAAGAAATGCTGGCATTCATTTGAGCTTTGTTGAGTTAATATTATGTGGGGATGCAACTGATCAACGACAATTATTTTTAGAGGGGGGGGAGATGGTTTGTGGGGAACATATCCCTTTATGAGCTAGAATTAGATTCAATCCTAGGCTTATCTAATATTGTAGGTAATCTGAACCTGCAAAAAGTGATCAGTCCCCATTCATAAATTTATCCCAAAATATGCAGACTCCAATCCTAACCCATCTAAGTGCCAACCATTTTTTATTTCAACACTTCCCTGCCATCATTTATAACCTGATCAGAAATGAGATTACTTGCTTACATCCATTTTTAAATTAAATATAATTAAATTTTAAATTCCTTTTAAAAATACCCATGATTTAAAATACAAAGAAAAAGAGGGGAGTGATTATTTCCTGATTGTGCAGCTGGTTTTCTTGTAGGATTTACAACTGAAAGCAAGTTTCTGCTGAAAACCAAACGGAATAGCAACTGTGGGGAAATGCCTTTATCCATGATACAAGGAAAGTTAGCATACATTTCCCACTTCTAACCTAGTTTACTGTTCTATTCCTCTCCATTCACATTTTACAGAAATTTAAGCAGGATTTGGGTTGGCAGTATGACTGCAGCTGGAGTTTAATAGTACTTTCCTTGATAATGGTTGTATTTGTAGAACCCATTGAGCCACAAACTAGCTAACCATATTTTAATTCAGTTACTTGCCTTTAGTTTTTGCTTATGGGTCTGTGAGGTTAAATTTTTAAAAACTGCTACATTAAATATGGCTAAGCAAATTTCACAAACACAACCATTAAGAGCTGGGGTTAATAAACAGAGTATGGTTAAAACATTAAGACGTTTCAGCCAAAAGTTTAGATGAATGTAATAAAGTTCCAGGAGAAGTTTCATCATGCAAGAAAGAGAACTGACATTTTTCTTTTTCTTACAAAGACCAACAGCAGAATGGAACTAAGTGAGCTGTAGCCTTTGTGGAGGTGGACGACTGAAACACAGTACAATAAAAAGACTGACAACTCTCCTTGGAATGAGCCTTCATTAGTACCTTGGCAGTTTGCCCATGTGTTTCCAAAAACTCACATTTGGTGGGTTCACACTTTTTTCAGCATGGCAAAGAGCTGATGATTGCAGAAACACGCCTGCCTCTCCAGCATACAAGCAGGACTACAGGATAGCAGATGAACTTCACAGTTTCTCCAGTGAGGCAGAGAACTATTTGACACGTTAATCTAGTTAAAATCCTTACACCAGAGCCTCCTTTCCTGCTAAACTATTTTGTACTCATAATATTTTGAACAATAGTGTAAAATCCCTTGTTTTGAGATAACTATTTATTTTTAGAAGTGAACACTGTGAATCCAGCAGGCTCCACCAAAGCCTAGGACAAGGTTTTGACAATTAGACAACAATATTAGAATTGTGTTATGTGCCACAAATTTCAATTACAAAGCATTACACTAGTGGCTTTCAAGGTGTATAAAAGCGTGAACTTCATTCTGTTTTTTTTCCTAACTTTCAAATTAAATTCATATTTCTGGATTTTAATGCAAATTGAAGAGTCTTTTCCTTGTCTGGAAAGTACCATGATGGCCATGATAACACAACATAAACAGGAGCCAATTCAGTGTGGTGATTCAGCTGTTGGACAAAGACCTGGGAGACCCAGATTCAGATCCACCTTTAGCCATGGAAAGTCATTTAGGACCAATCACATAGTTTCCCAGTCCAACCCATTCACAGGGTTATTGTGGAAAAAAATTGGAGGAGGCAGTGCTATGTTCACCACCTTGAGCTCCTAGAGAAAAGGCAGGATAGAAATCTAACAAGCACACACATAACTTTTGGTGACAAAGGGCTGCTGTGTGAGATAAAGTCTCAAACTGCAGGGAGATACAGCCAGTCAATAAACCCTTTAGAAAGTACTCATGCATAAATATTACATAGTGTGCTTTACCTTCTGTTGTTTGAAACCCTTGGTCCAGAAATATAACTGATCATATCAACTTTGTCCTATCCTTCAAAATTTAAATGCATGCCAGCCAGTCACTTCTGCTCTAAATCATCTTCTGTCAGATCACAAAACTGAACTTTTTGGTTTGAGCAACTTGCAAAAAAATCCTTTAATTCACCAAGTTTGATTCTCATTTCTATATGTTTTGTCACACTTTCCTTTAAAATGCATGCTAATAGGAATCTCCTTTGGGCCCAGTGATGTTCAATTGGACATCAGCCCCATACAGGACTAGAGAATGATACATAACTGTATTCTGTGTTCAGTATCCTCTAGCACCTGGAGGTGTTAACCTGCAGTATTCTAGGTAAATGCTATGCAATCATTCTCCTGACCATCCAAAAAACTTTTGACTGAAAATTTGTTAGCACCTTCCTGTCATAGATCAGATTAACTTAGCAGGCTTCTGTTTGAAATTGCCCACCTCAACAAAAGTATTTCCGGGGTTTCAGTTCTTTCATTATGCCTGTCCCTTATGTTCAGAACCTGCTTCTCCTCTGCCAGTTCTCATAAACAAAGAGGAAAACAAGATGGAATTATTTTGGATTCTAGACAAAGGAGAAAGACGTTTGAATATGTGATTCACTGAATGGGCTACCCCAACAGAGTGACTCTGGGAAGCAGCAGAGTTGTGGTTTGTTCTGTCTGAAATACCTGTTTCCCTGAACTGCCTCCAGACTTCCCAGACAATGATCACCAGGAAGAAGACTCCTTACTTCCTGCCACATTGGTCTTTCCACTTGCTGTGCCAAGACAAAAAGGGGGCACATCATCAATTAAACTTGTATGCTGCCCGACTCTGGTCGACATCCAGCTTCATCTAACTCTTCCATCTCAGACTTGTCTTTTGAGCTTGATAAGCTGCCAGGTCTGTGCCCATGAAGAAGGGTAAGTGACTCTGACAGAGGTGGTGGTACAATGGAATGGGGGTTTGACTCATAGAAAAGGAAGGGAAGGTCAAGCCATTACAGAAAAGATACTTGAGTCCTGGGGAGATAACACAAGAAAGAAACTCAGAACAACTTTCCCTTGATTGTGTTAGGTTACATGTGGAAATAGAAAAAGTGCTTTGACAGGCTTTCAAGATTTTGTTACAATACTCTAAATGCATTAAAGTATATTCTAAGACTCCTAGTGATTCCTGTTTCCTGACCTTGCCTACTCTGAAGAGCTGACAATAGATTATATGATGTCAAGATTGTTGAATAAGATATAATGGCCGAGTTTGTACAGAACACTAATTCATACTGAACATTCATCACAATAAACAAAGCAAAAGCAAACAAACCACCTTGTGACTTAGATCTGTCTCATGGGAATTTAAGCAGCATGGGAATTGCATGTTTTGCCCCATCTCACCTGACTTACCTAATAGGTTGCTATTGGTATTCCACATGCAAAGAAGTGGAATAAAACAAGATTCAAAAAGAGCAAAGTAAAAAGTGTTCCAAATTACATGAACACATGGACTACAGTGATGTAAGTATGTGAGTAGATTTGTCACTGTTGTAAACACATGCAATTGTCATGAGATCAAGCTACCCTGTTCCCCATCTCAGGTCCTTGGAATAAAGTGGAGAAATATTTATGTTAGCAAAAGTAGCAAAGTACTTATGTTTGTTGGAATCAGAAATACAAACACTTTAATAAAAATATTTTTGTAGAAATCAAGCTTATTTCCAGGAGAAACTTATACATAAAATATAAACTTATAAAAAACAAATTAACATTTACATAATAAATGTATTTTCAGTCAGTACAGAGAAATACAAGAGCAATAGTATGTGTGTGTATAATGCAGACTCTATTTCTTCTCAGTGATAATTTCTTAAAATAAAAAATACAAAATCGTTAGTTTTGCATTAGAAATGCAAGGATTTCTAGTTGTTTCTGAAGAAGTACTGATAGCAAAAATGTCATCCTCCTATCTTGGTTCTAATTGGAAGCTAGAAAATATCTATGATAAACCAAACCCCACATGTGTGAATTCTGGATGATTACAGAGTAGAATACTAAAACTCAGGCTGCATAAAAGCCTTTTGTTTTGCCAATGTGTCACAGGAATCTTTCCTTAGAGTCCACTGCACTCTTTCTCCAAATGCTCAAGTAGCCTGGAGGCTAAACTAGCAGTCTGGGAAACTAAAAAACTAAACGCTACTTGGTACTGCCTGAACCCACAATTTCTGCTAGTAAACATGACACCTCAACATTGAGACTAGCCAAGAGTAATGAAAATGAGAACGATGCAGCATGGTACTGTTGGAAATGGAAAGCTTTGCTGCTTTCCTCTTGTAGAATTACTTCTCAACTAAGTTCTGTGGTAACTGAGAGCCTTCTCCTTTGTATTTCCATAGCTCTGAACCTTACTCTAGCACATTAATGTTTTTCTTGCCTTTAACTGCAGTTACTTGGGATCTTGTGCCTTGCTTAAGAGATAATCAGAAAATAATAAGAACATGATTATCTGTCCAGATGGACTGGATACAAGCCTTAGGTTTAAAGAGTTCTACACATTCATAGTAATGCACCCAGCATCCTTCTCATTCGTTTTCTGTGTTTAGTATGGAGCATGGAAATGAAGTTCCTGAGTCTGAGGCAATTGTCTGTAGCCAAAATGAAAAACAAAACAAAATGTAGATCTAATTGCCGGCTTCAGGCATAGGCTAGCCAACTCCTTTGCTCATCTTTCTAAATATTTTTCAACTATTCTATATTGATATAGACATTTGGTGCAGCCCACTAGGAACATTAGCATAATCACCAAAGTTGCATTGCACAAATACTTCATTTGCTAAATTGATTATATTCATGTCAGTAATTCACAACCCAG